AAACAAATTAAATGATTGTTAGCTTAATATGAATATTTAAACTTTTGTTACCAGAAGATTATCCGGGTATGTCTACTCGGGTATTATCCGGATATGCTTATCCGGATAGCTGAGTTTACAACCCGGATATCCGATTATCCGCGGATAACCCGGGTAATATCTAACCCGGGTACCATCACTAGATAGCATGCAATTGGACAGGATCGACTGTATAACCGAATTATACGCGGTTTGAACTTTCTAAAGTTGCTAATTATTACAACTAAATTTTGAATATATTTGTTTTTATTTAGTAATTATGTTTGCTAATATGCAATTTCAAATTATGCATCTTCTAAACAATCAATATCTATCTAATCATGGCAAATCTATTCTAAATAGAATGAAATGATAAGACGATAATGCAAAGAAAAAAAGCAATCTATTTTATCAACATATGCTAATAGTAATTATTTGCACACCAAACTTGGTATATTTTAACACTCAATGCTGGTCCAATCTTTTTTCTACGAATAATACCACTACAAGCATTCATAATCATTTTTCTTTTGTCATCCTCATTAGTCAAAGAATCAAACTCTTCAACCAACTTTCGCGGAGTTGGGTAATTCTTAATTATTTCTGCTGCCTTGTCAACACTGATTCCTCTAATAGTCATGAGCATTCTTACAAATGTATCTCTCAACGTTAAAGGTTTACTTTTACTATTAAGATCAGAGTATGAAGAATATGTGACAAGATAGGTACGATCTGGATGCAATGTAGCCAAATTCTTTTTCATGTCCAAGAAAGTAGATCGGTAAATCATATTATCGGGAATAGCGTATAATGTAGTATTCTAAAAAATAAACAAAATATATATTTATCTCGTAACAAATTCAAAAACAGAACGATCCACTTAATGATGTCCACGAACCTCATACATTGCCTTGAGCATTCTAGTCATTCTAACCAAGTAATCAATGCTTTGATCAATTGTAGCAGTCCGTTTCAAAAAATAACCATTTAGCATTTGTATTGATGAGAGAGCAGTTTTAATGGCATCTATTCCAAATTCTGCTACTTCTTCGAGATTATAATCTTCAATTAAATAAATTATTTGACTTGCTCCAGATTTTGAAAGCCGAAACTGTACAATAAAAAAATTACTACACCCCATCACATCATTGTACAATTTGTGACTAATATAATTCAATAACAACGATCAAACCTTTTGTTCTCTAAATCGACCATCTTTTATACTTCCAACCAAATCATCCATTCGTTTTCTTTCCAAAATGTAGTCCAATGCAAGCTCTTCCATTGGCGAAGTTGTATTTTTTCGTGCTACCCAAATAACATCTCCAAGCTCTAAATTCCTTACAGATATAGGAACACCTTTCTCTTGCAATGTATCTTTGATATAGTCACGATCTTTCTTTAATTTTACTTCCCGCGTATCCAAAACCAAGATTATTTCAAATGTACCAGATTCCCACACTATGGGACTAAAATTGTTTAAAACAGTTGATGAAGTGGATGAGTTTGAATCAAAAGATATTGTAGTCGGGACTGATTGTGCATGTTTATTATTATCAACTTGATCGCATAGATGTTTAGATTTAGCTATGTCATTCAAGAAAGGTTTAAATTCCTTTGGAATGCAAAATTCTTCATCTGAACTCTCCTCTAAATTAATAATAACTGGGGTTTTTTCTATGGTATGATTTTTAATATTGGTGGGTAATACATTATACACTGTAGTGTTATCTAACATTACAGCCTGATCTGAGTGAATGTCCGAAGAGGAGCTTCTGTATAAAGGTTTAAAGCCAGATGAATCATTCGAAGGAAGTTTAGATTCCTTCTGAATACAACATTCTTCATCAGAACTTTCCCTCAAATCAATAACAATTGGTTTTTTTTCTACTGTATGATTTTCAATTTTTGTTGGTAATACGGTATGTACTGTAGTATTGTACAAATTTGCAGGCTGGATTGAAGGAAAGTTTGAAAATGAATTGTTTCCATGTAAACTGGTAGTATGTACTACAGTATCGTCCAAATTTGCAGGCTGAGTTGAAAGAAAGTTTGAAAATGGATTGTTTCCTTGTAAACTGGTAGTATGTACTACAGCATCGTCCAAATTTGCAGGCTGAGTTGAAGGAAAGTTTGAAAATGGATTGTTTCCTTGTAAACTGGTAGTATGTACTACAGTATCGTCCAAATTTGCAGGCTGAGTTGAAGGAAAGTTTGAAAATGGATTGTTTCCTTGTAAATTGGCTGTTTCCACCATTTGTCGAGCAACCAGTAGACCAGATTCTGTTAATGAAAACCTTGAAGGATAACCATTTTTATAAACATAATTTTTGTCAAGTAAAGTTTTCATGGAATTCCATGCTGTATAAAATTTTTGCTTGCCACTTGGTATATCAAAAGAGGCATCACAATAACGTTGTGCTTCTTTAATGAGATCTGGCTTTGTCATATTGGGGTTTGAATCTATCTCGGATGCTTTATAAAGTGCTAACATTATTGCATAGGCACCTGACCGATATTTAGGAACATAGACTTTGGGAGCGGTAGTAGTCTTTTGCCTTTTAGGTTCGGGTTCATCACTATAACCTAAGCTCTCTTGTGAATTCTGATTTGTTTTTTTTGATTTTGATGATGATGATGATGGTAATTCATCTAAAATCGGATCATTCAAATTATTTGAACGATTCTAAATGATTCTTAAAGAAAAAGACAATTATCATACCAGGACGTTGTGGAGGGGGCTGACCAGTTTCTTCACAATGTTGTTTTAATCTCATTTCCAATCTTTGACAAATTCCAGGTCCAATACCACTTAGAATAGCCGCTTCAGCCGGGTGTTGAAATGGTAACGGATATTTTGACATCGAGTCATATGCCTATTAAGCGAGTCTGTGAAACTGTTTCTTCAAGAAAAAGAGGAAAGGATATAAAGTATAAACCTTTTTATATGTATAGTAAGCTTTATTATTAGCGGCACTAGCGCTTTCCATCCATTCGCCCAGCCATTTCAAGTATAAAGGATTTCCGCACGTCTCTAATTCTTTACGTTTTCGTGGCATTTTAGACAATAATACTTGTGATTCTTTAACAATTACAAAACTAAGTAATAAATATCGATATTGATTGATATAGCGGCGATTGGATGACCTCTGCAGATCATTCCCGTGATATTGCAAAAACATTATTGGTTAATTGAAATCAAAAATCAAAAATCAAAAATCGCTTTTATGACTAAAATTTAATGGCAAAACTAATTGGAATTAAAAATATATAACGATAACGATAATAGCATTACTATGAACTTTACAACTAGTCTGAAATAATCATCCTGTATGAACAAACAAAGACATGTATTACTAAAAAATTGAAAACGTGATAAAAAAATTGTCACGTATAAACCAGTTTTAACCAGATACGTACTGTACATTGCTAGTTTTATTATAAAACGAATTTTAATCTTAAATTTGAACAGCTTATTTTAAAGTTTAGAAAAAGCTTATATTAATAAATAGACATGCACTAAATTAATTAAGTATATATATAGGGAATTGATATTTCCACACCCTTTTTTGATATTGCCACACCCCTGCTAACTCTAAATCCTAACCAAACCCTAATAATTTATATTGATTTTTATTAACAGGGGTGTGGCAATATCAAAAAAGGGTGTGGAAATATCAATTTCCTATATATATAGTAAATATATATTCAAATTTATAAATTATTTTAAATATATACTTAATATATAGTAAAGATCTTTTATTTGATTATGTACATAGCAAATTATCATGTTTAAAATTGGTTAATCTTACCGTTATTATAACTTGATCCCAACTAGGGATAGGTTACGTAGGTTGGTTATGGTCGGTAATCGGTCGGTTATTTCATTATTTTCGGTTATTAGCTCATAGTTGGCAACACTACTAAACAGTTTAAATACCTCTGACACGGTCACGGGTATAACCGTCATGGCCGGTTATAATCGGTAATGACCGGTTAGTGACGAGCCGAACCGAACCCATCCCTCGTCGTACAATCACTGCGTAAAAAAAACTTATGATTGATAATAATCGATCAAACATCTATTTTAATGTTCTATGATCGATTATTTTCGAACAGAACTCCGAGATAAATTACAATTAAATGACTAAATTATTGAAATAATTGGTCATACTATAACCGGATCCTCATATATTTAAAAAAAAACTTTTTTTACTTAAAAAAAAAAAAAAAAAAAGCGTCTCAGATCACTAACTCGTGATATGAAAACCAATTATAAAATTTTGATATAGCATAACTGATCATCATCTCTAATTAAAAGTCTTCTGCAAAATACATATCTTCATCTATATATGATGTCAATACAGTGCGTTCTGCAAATTTTCGACCAGCAAGCGCTCGAAGTGCTGCACCAGCTGCTTCTATAGATTCAAAACGTACGAAAATCTGAAAATTATATAAATTTTTAATAAGAAATTTACCTACAGAAATTAGACATAATATTAAAAAAAAAAAAAAACATACTTTGCCGATTCCCGATAATGACCCACTACCAGGTCTGGGAATCTTCATATCCATCACATGACCGAATTTAGAGCATTCTTCACGAACATCATCAACAATATCTAATATTAATAAAGTGTTTTAAAACATCAGCATTTAAATCAATTTTAACGTATAAAAAAAAAATAAATTAATAATTATTATAAAAGTTAAGGCATTAAATAAAAACATTAACAAACCTTCATATTCATCATCGTCTACTAATTCTTCAGGTGTGACCATATTAAGTAGTTGAAGAACAGTAGTGGGAATCATTTCACCATTACCAGAAGGAATAAGAACAGAAGAAGGTAGAACACTCGCTACACCTGTATTTTTTGCAGAACCAACACTAGCACGCTGAACGACAAGTTTACGGTCACCCAATTCCATATTATTTAAGCCTTGACAAGCTAAATCAGTTACACTTGGATCAACGTATTCACAAAATGCAAACCCCTAATAAAAAACAAATTCAAGAATTTTAAAAATTTATAAAAATTAAAAGGGTTACATGAGTAGTTAATTACCTTGGATACGCCTGTTAAACTATCTTTGACTAAATTAAAAGCTCTGAGTTCACCAAAAGATTTCAAAAGTTCCATAACTTGTTCATCATTCAAATATGTAGGCAGACCACCAATGAATATTTTATTAGGACTATCAGGTACATTAGTTGAAACGACGCCAGGAACATGGATTGGAGGAGGTTCGAGATTTTGTCCAGGTGGTGGCTGATAATCTTTTGGACGTCGAATCTTTAAAGACTGACCTTGAAATGTAATTCCATCAAAAGCCATTGCTGCGGTGGCCTCTTCGGGAGCACGAAACTATAATAAAAAATCATTAAATACATAAGTATATAAACATAAATATTATTTATAGTATTTAATATCAAATCTTACTTCTACAAATGCATAATTTTTGTCATGGTTAATTTGAACAGCTATAACTGGTTGACCTGGTGCAGTAGTGATATTCAATTGTACCATTGTTGAATTAAAGAATTCTGATAGGCCATTCTAATGCAGGTACAAATAAAGAGTTAAAAATAAAAACGACAATGATACAATGATGGGATAAATATATATATATCTATATATATATATATATTTATATTTATATGATAAAGCCATAATATAAATACAAACCTCATCAATACCGTAAGGAATATTTCCAACATAAAGACGCCTAGCTTGCCTTGCAAGAGATGCAGTCTGTGCGACAGGACCAGCAGCACCTTGACTTACTTTCGGTCGAGGGGGGAGTTCATGAGTCATTCCCATCATCATAGCAGCAGCTCTGGAAGGATCCATGCCAGGTATAATTGGGGAAGTGGGAATGGCGGTAGGTCTAGTGGTAGCAGGTTGACCAGGAAGTGGAAAGTGACCTTTTGAATAAAACGACAAGTTAACACAGTAAGAGGCAATGAAAATTATTAATGTATAATAATAATAATAATAATAATAATAATAATAATATAATAATAATAATAATAATAAACTAACCAGTAGCTTTAACTTGTTCAGCAGTCATGCCTTCATAACCTGGAGGCGGTAAATCCCAATTATTTAACTTTCTTCTTCTCCTATTAATAGGAGTTATTGAACGAGAACGAGAATGATGTCTAGGACTACGACTACGCCGCCTAGTATTAGGACTAGGACTACGACTTCGTTTCCTTGTACGACGTGATTTACGATCTCTTTCATCTTTTTCTTCACGCTCTCTATCACGACGATTTCTATCACGGCTACGTTCTCTCTCTCTTCGCCTTTCACGTTCACGGTCTTTATCACGATCAGCACGATCAGCTCGATCACGGTCCCTATCTCTATCCTTATCTTTATCACCTCTATCTCTATCGCGTTTTTTATCTCGGCGATCATCATCTTCTTTTACAGATCGATGTCGTTCACTTCTATCACGCGACCGATCACGATGAGAAGTATGTTCGTCGTGTGAGCGAAAAGCTATAAAGCGATAGCATGACAAATGTCATACATAGCAATAAAAAGAAGAAATAATTTTTATGATTTGAGTTTCATTAGTATGACCTAAAAAGAGAGTGAGAAGGTCCAAATGGATCGAATCTGCCCGGAAGCTTTCATGCAAACATATGCAATAGGATCGAAGTTAAGCTGCGCTGCTTAAAATAAAAAAAAAAAAAACACAAGGGGATAAAAGAAAAAAAAAAAAAGAAAAAAAAAAAAAACATTTCGTATTCTCAGATAAATTAGAAAATAACGAAAAAAAAGATCAATTTTGCCAAAAAAAATCTTTGATTTTCTCTTGTTGGAACTATCAAAGGAAAGAGAACCCACTAAACGTGTAATTGACCACAATAAAAACAGAAAAAAAAAAAAAGGAAAAAGAGCGATTACAACATAACATTAGTTACTATTTTCCCAAAATTGTTCAGATAAAAAAGAATAAATAAAGGAATCTATAGAGATATATCTATAATTAATGTTTGTGTATAAATAAAATCTGGTTCTTTTCTTCCCTCCTTTTCAGCAAATTTAATCAACAAATAAAGAAATAAAAAAAAAAATAGGAGAAAATTTAACTTTGTTAAAAAGCACATACCCTTATCAGGAGTTGTTTCATGTTCTTGTTTAATATAAGGGGATTCCATCTTTTCGTGTTCTTGTTTGATATAAGTGGATTCCATCTTTGACAAAAAATTGTTAGCTAATTCTGAAGCTAACGCTGAAGTTTCTAATAATAAAAATAAAAATCAGTAATCAAGTTACTCTTTTAGTTTTCAAAGTTAAATTTAATAAACCTTGAGGAAAATCTTGTGGTTCTTGTTTAATATGATATGAAGACGAATAATCGCCATCTTTTCTCCAATATTCAGTACTACTCATGATAGAAAAAAACTTTAGAAATGAATTCAAAATGAAATTCGAAAATGCGAAAATAATTCTGAGGGATTATCATGTGATATATACTTTATGGAGCAGAATTTCCGATTATTGGTGTAACATTTTTTTAGTAAAATGCTTGATTTTGATTGGCTCTTATTATTGTATTTTTTTTGCGTTAAAGTCTGCAAGTCAAAAATAATAATAATAAAAAAAAAAAAAAATATACAAAATAAAGTGTATCGTACGTAAAAGTTTAACAAATAATAAGAAGTCAGGATTCAAGAAATTGATTTAGAAACTTGTAACATTAAATCATTTTCTCGTAATTCAGGATGTATATAAAAGTGACGTTTTGCATTTGTTTTTTTTCCAAACATCGTTACACCATAAACATTATTTTCGAATTGCTTCTTAATTTTCCAATTCGTAAAAACTCTAGTAGATGGTTCAAGTGATTTAATTGGAAGAGTTGTAAAATGAGGTCTTCCAAATAAGTTGAGTGTTTCAAAAGTTATAAAAGAATCAGGTGTAATTTTATTTGAATTATTCGGATTACTCGAATTACTCGGATTACTCGGATTACTCGGATTACTCGGATTATTCGGGTTATTCAGGTTATTCGTTGGAGATAAATGATGATAAATTTTTGCAACATAAGGAGAAACGCACCAATGAATTAGACCTGTAGATGCGGCACTTGTAGATATTACTACATAAGTTTTCGTCAATTATTATATTAAATTTTTAACGTATTTCACATTTCAAACATTTTAAACATTTCATAAATTACTGTTACTCACAAAATAATACCATAATTGCTCGAGCACTTGTAATCATAGCCGTGTCCACCATAAAAAATAGAGGTGTACTAGCAAAGGTAATGGCCAAAGTAATTATGGAAAAAGTTTTCAATTTTTTTGCTGTTTGAGCCAATGGTCCATTATAGATGATATTCGAACTATCATATTTCAACGTTGTAAATGTTTGATATAAATGTTTCTGATCATTTTTTATTGGAATTATTGGGTAAATCTTAAAGGGTAAAGTTTTTACATATTTAAATTGTTGAAATCTTTTAGAATAAATTGAAGTTAATAATAGTCTGAACATCTTTTGATCTTGTAGATTATTAGATATGTACTACAATTATTATTTTATTTGCATACCGATACATTTTTTTTTTTCTGAAAATTATGAAAATTCATTGGCCAATTTTTTTTTTATCATGCGATTGCTGCAACCGGTACCTGAATCTTGCTTACATTTATCTACAATCAGGTGAATTTTGATATCAACCGCATCAAATTAGCTTTATTAATTTATTCGCTCAAAATAATTGGTTAGATAAATCTTATTAAAACCTATTTCTGAATTATTTCTTTCTTATAAGTCTATAAAGATTAAACTTAGCATGGCTGTCTTTTGAAATTAAATAACGTACCTAAGTATTTAACCAAAAATACGTACGTACGTACGCATGTACAATTGAATTTAAAAATATATACTTATGTATGTACTAGTTTCGATTGATTGAGAAACCATAGATTATTATTATCATACATAACAGATAATATAGTTTGACTTGATTTAGGTATTATATAAGACTATTTCTAATTGTTACCGGGGGATATTGATATCCAGGGTGCTATATCTCAAAAAATTGACTAAGAAACAGGGT